ACCCCAGGGGCTCGGAGCAGGGCGGGGTCCTGCCCAGGACTCCTGAGGTGCCGTCAGCTGCCTGCTTGCGCCCGGTGCCCTGCCCGAGTGGTTACCGCTGGGAGGCTGTAAGGGAAACTGAGGCGGGGAAGGCCTCCTTCCAGATCACACGGTGAGGCACTGGCAGAGTCAGGAATACAACCCACGAGACCTGGCTCCTGTTCCATCAGCCCCTCTCTCCGTACAGCCTCCTTCCCCTCTGGTACGTGCAGAGAGCACATGGGAAACCTCCCAGTGTGCACCTGGTGAATCCTCTTCCTGGCATTGCCCCTAGCATGTGCCCCACCCGTCAGCTTTAGAAATGGTCCCCTCTCCAGAGAGGGGTGCCCCCCGGGTGGCACTGCAGGAGATGGGCTCTGGCTAAAGCCGCGGGGCCTGGTTTTAAGTGTGAAAGGAATCAACCAGTAAATCTTTGAAGACCGTTTATGCCATGCTGCCAGTCTGTGGCTTGTGACAGTCCAAAGTCACTGGTGCTCCTCACATTCAGCCTCGGATATACTGTTCCTAATATACTCTGCTTGATTCACACTTCAGTTCTTTCCTAAACCAGGTCATATGACAACAATGGCAACAATGTGATGTGTGGGACAGTTAAAATGGAATTGGTGCTAACTAAGCTAGTTCCTGGATGCAGATTTAAGGGCTGGAGACAACAGGGTGTGTTGTGAGTCAGAAGTGAGGGATATCAGCAGGGCTGGGTGATCAGGATTTAGAAAAGCAATGTTCTGCAGGGGATGGGCTGAGCTGCGTGGGCCTCCAAATGGGAATAGCAAAGTGCTGGAAGTGGGCATTGGGGTGCTATTTGGAGAAGCTTGCACAGTGTATGTCTAACTATATTTAGCTATAGTCAGACATCTGTGACATTTATTCACAAACTAAAAATAAAATATGCCACTGTCAAAGGATCAACTTCTATTATATTTTTCATAGAAGCCCCTTGGGATCTGCCATTGAAATGTTCTACTTTGGAATCTCCTAGGTGGAGGAAAACCGAGTAAAAGGCTTTTCACTTTGCGTTGTGGTGGGGGAGTTTAATTTGTTAGTATAAAGCAATGTTTCTCAACCAGTGGTATGAGTACCCTTAAGGGTACTCGAGAGAAGTCTGGGGGGTATGTCAACGCAACTGAAATTTGGAGAAAACTGAATTTTTGTTTTACGTTTTACAGCAGACTGTTATTTTTGTACTTTCTACACCCAAAAATTTCATTGCCCACCTGGCTACGATGAAGTTGTTTAAACAAACGTGTTGCAATGGTAGAAAAAAAAATCGTGTGTCTGAAAACTGTAGGTACTGGGGGTACTTATAATTGTTTTTAAAGCGGTACTTTATAAAAACAAGGTTGAGAAACACTGGTATAAAGCGTTAAAATAGAGGTCTACATTTGTGTTGTGTCCCAAAATCTGTATGTGTGTGTCAAGGAAAAGGAGAGAGTGCCCAGCATTTTCAGTTATCTCACCACCATAATATTTAGGATCTTGATTCATGGAAATTTGAGTTGACTAAAAAATAAGTTTTGACCGTGCTTGGTGCCAGAGCCTAGTGAAGCCTCTTCAAAAAGCAGTGAGTCTCACCAGGGAGCTCATGTAGCAATGTGGGCTGCTGCAAAGACGCCTATGGCATTTTGTGCAGCTCAGTGGTTTTCAAATTTGAGAATTTTGTTGAGAGAGAGCAGATACCTGATTGCTTTAAAAGCTAATTGTTAAAGGCATAAAGAGCAGCTTTTTGACCCCTATTACCCTCCCCACAACAGTGGAAGCAAAAAGCCAGAAGCAATGACAAATCCTACTTTCCCAATTTTGTTTTTTGTTTTGTTTTTGTACTTTTAGGAAGGCAGACAGAATGACACCTGAGAACCAATCAAAAGACAAGATGCATGCGAGGGTGCATGAGCATCATCTGGAAGAAAATGCACAGTCAACTTGGAAGAGGAAACGAGACCATGAAGAACTGGAGAATGAGCCACAAGCAAAAAGATTGTTTCTGAGGAAAGCAGCCAAACCCCCAGGGAAAATTGGTAATGTTCCCTCAGATTCTCACTCTTTCTGCCAATCAGGACTTCAGAGAATGAAGGGCGTAAACCAGACTTTCAGATAGCTGAGGTGGGGAGGTGTCAGGGAACTAGCAGCCTGTTCAGACAAGACTTTTTTGAACTGAGTTATGTTTCTAAGCGAGGGGTGGAGATATGTGGGGACATTATTTTCAGCTATCTGTTTGGAAACTACTGTTTGTGTGTGTGTGCATGTGCATGCATGTGTGCATATGCAGCATTTTATAAGTCATTGCTTTTATAAATACATTAAAAGCAAGAGGAAGACCAAGGACAGGGTAGGCCCACTGCTCAGTGAGGAGGGAGAAACAGTAACAGGAAACTTGGAAATGGCGGAGATGCTCAATGACTTCTTTGTTTCGGTCTTCACCGAGAAGTCTGGAGGTGTGCCTAACGTAGTGAATACAAGCAGAGAGAGGGCAAGTTTAGAAGATAGGATACACAAAGAACAAGTTAAAAATCACTTAGGAAAGTTAGATGTCAGCAAGTCACCAGGTCCTGATGAAATGCATCCCAGGATACTCAAGGAGCTGATAGAGGAGGTACCTGAGCCTTTAGCTATGATCTTTGAAAAATCATGGAAGACAGGGGAGATACCAGAAGACTGGAAAAGGGCAAATATTGTGCCCATCTATAAAAAGGGGAATAAGAACAACCCAGGAAACTACAGACCGGTCAGTTTAACGTCTGTCCCAGGGAAGATAATGGAGCAGGTAATTAAGGAAATCATATGCAAACACTTGGAAGGTAATAAAGTGATAGGGAATAGCCAGCATGGGTTTGTGAAGAACAAGTCATGCCAAACTAATCTGATAGCTTTCTTTGATAAGATAACGAGCCTTGTGGATAAGGGAGAAGCGGTGGATGTCATATACCTAGACTTTAGTAAGGCATTTGATACGGTCTCGCATGATATTCTTATTGATAAACTAGGCAAATATAACTTAGATAGGGCCACGATAAGGTGGGTGCATAATTGGCTGGATAACCGTAGTCAGAGAGTTGTTGTTAACGGTTCTAAATCCTGCTGGAAAGGGATAACAAGTGGAGTTCCGCAAGGGTCTGTTTTGGGACCCGTACTGTTCAATATCTTCATCAATGATGTAGATATTGGGATAGAGAGTACGCTTATTAAGTTTGCAGATGATACCAAACTGGGTGGGGTTGCAACTTCTTTGGAGGATAGGGACATAATTCAAAATGACCTTAGCAAGTTAGAGAAATGGTCAGAGGTAAACAGGATGAGGTTTAATAAAGAGAAATGCAAAGTGCTCCACTTAGGAAGGAACAATCAGTTCCATACATACAAGATGGGAAGCGACTGTCTAGGAAGGAGCATGGCAGAAAGGGATCTAGGGGTCATAGTGGACCACAAGTTGAATATGAGTCAACAGTGTGATGCTGTTGCAAAAAAAGCAAATATGATTCTAGGTTGTATCAACAGGTGTGTTGTAAGCAAAACTCGTGAAGTCATTCTGCCGCTCTACTCTGCACTAGTTAGGCCTCAGCTGGAGTACTGTGTCCAGTTCTGGGCGCCACATTTCAAGAAAGATGTGGAGAAATTGGAAAGGGTACAGAGAAGAGCAACAAGAATGATTAAAGGTCTAGAGAACATGACCTATGAAGCCAGGCTTCATGAACTGGGCTTGTTTAGTTTGGAAAAAAGAAGATTAAGGGGGGACATGATAGCGGTTTTCAAATATCTAAAAGGGTGTCACAAGGAGGAAGGAGAAAATTTGTTCCTCTTGGTTTCTGAGGACAGGACAAGGAGTAATGGGCTTAAAGTGCAGCAGGGGAGGTTTAGATTGGACATTAGGAAAAAATTCCTAACTGTCAGGGTGGTCAAATATTGGAATAAATTGCCAAGGGAGGTGGTGGAATCTCCCTCTCTGGAGATATTTAAGAACAGGTTAGATAGACATCTGTCAGGGATGGTGTAGACAGAGCTTGATCCTGCCTTGAGGGCGGGGGGCTGGACTCGATGACCTCTCGAGGTCCCTTCCAGTCCTATGATTCTATATCGTTACTCTGGTATACATCCGTTGACACTTGTAGGAACTAGTATGTTATAAGTCCTCCCATTCCCCGCTCTTAAGTCACGCAAAAAAAAAAAAAATGTGCAAATGGAAGTCAGCCATGAGGAAAAAAATTCCCTGGTTTGTTTCACTTTAAGTCCAATTTTTTTTAATGTATCTTGGACTTGTAGCAAGGATGGCCTGTACATCACTACTCGGTGAGCACTGATTAAGTTTTATGGAATTTCTGAAATTCTACTTCATTTCTGCAGTAGGACAGATCAATACTGTCCTGATAACGTGACATTATATAATTCTTCATGCTGTTCCCTAATCAGAAGGTCAGTATTGCACATATGCAGTCAAAACCAGCATTTCCATCTGGAGATCATGCTGTGTCCACTAGCAAGATGCTGCATAGAAGTTAGAACTGGTGGGCTGCTCTAGGTAGATGGTAGCTATTTCTGTTCATTTTCTGCAACATTGTGTCCATATTTAGACAGACCAGGGCTAGTTCCATTCTGCTATACTCAGTGAATTCTACCAGACTTGACAGTATGCTGATGAGTCCTTTCTCCTTTGTTTGTTTTTTTCCTCAATATGTAACTTTGGGTAAGAAATGTTTCAGTTTTTCTCTTTGAAGGGGGAGATGGGTAAGCATTAGACCTGGTCTTTGCTACACAGTTAGGTTGGCAACTTATGTTGAATTAACTAGGCTAGTGTAAACAATATAGCCTTATCCTTCTGATTTAAGTGCTGTAGTCTAGACACACTGAGGGTGTGTCTAGACTACAGGGTTTTTTAGAAAAAACTTCCCCTGCGTCTAGACTGCTGCTGCGTTCTTTCGAAAGTAAATCGAAAGAAGGCAGCATTTTTTTCGACCGCGGAAAACCTCGTTTTATGAGGAAGAATGCCTTTTTTTGAAAGTGCGTTTTCAAAAAAAAGCGCTATGTAATGAAAACTGTGCTTTTTCGAAAGAGAGCATCCAGACTGAAAAAGTGGCTTGCTTTTTCGAAAGTACTGGTTGTAGTCTAGATGCTCTTTTTCAAAAGAGGCTTGCAGTCTAGTTGCCTGATATAATAACCTCAGCCCCAGTGTGGGGGCTGGGAGCCCAGTAGGCAGGGCGGCTGGAGTGGTGAGATCTTGCTTAGTTGGTTAACTGGGATTTTACATCCCTAGCCTCCACCTAGACCACGCTTCAGACTTAACTCACTACTTTTGTTGCCATGCTTAAAAAAGAAAAGTGAGAATTTTCTTACAGGGCGAGTACAGTTATGTGGGATTTCCTTCTTCCTAAACTCAAAAATGCGTGAAGATCAGATTTACAGTATTAAAAAATATATCTACTTCCTGACAGTACTCAAGCCTGGAAAAGTGCCTCTCCTTATTTCAGGCAGTGAAAGTTTCTGAGAGTTAAGAATCTGTAAAAATGGGAGATTAGAATGGAAATACTCTTAAATCCAGTGACAGCAAGTATGAGAGCCACCTGCTGGAATCATGCATGAATGTGGTTGGGTGTATTGACTTCTTGATTTCCAGGCCTCATGTTGTATAAAGTAATGATATTTTTTTATTGTATGTAATACTCTTGTTTGTTTCTTCTCATCCTGTTTTGTATCATATAGGGATGCAGGAGTCTTACAAAAATCTTATTTTAATGTTTCTTAAGAGATTCATTTGTTCTTCTGTTTCCTCATGTGCCATCTGGATCTGCTGGGAAGATATAGTCTGTTGTTGTGGGGATGATTAGGTCACACGCGTGGGATTGATGAGACACTCTTTTTACACAGATGTCCCTGATAATAAAACCAGAAGTGCTAGCAAAATACAGAAAACATGCTATGTTTGTCAGCAGAATTCTCCCTGAACAGAAGGGTGTCAGGCGCCAATGGGTCTTTTATCAAAAACAAAACACGCATAGGCAGGCTGTGTGAACTACAGCACAAGCAGGTGGAATATTCTTATTTGGGTGCAGGAGAAAAATGGCTAGGAATTCACAATTTGGGAATTTTCTGTTGAAACAGTTAAATTTCTCTCGTTTATCTGCTGATACCAGGTCTGATTTCTTCCTGCTGCTATGGTTGAGGTGCTGATTCCAGGAGTTAATCTCTCCCATTATCCCACATCTCAGGACTTGTTTTCAGGCTCCATATGTCCCTGCCATATCAGGGATCCAAGCCACTTCCTGTAAACTCACTTAGAGCCCTCTCCTTTCCTTTGCTCTGGGATGAATCTTTAACCAGGAGACACATATTACGAGGGAACCAGTCATGCAACGTTTTGTTGGGTTGTAGTATGCATTGTGCTTTGCATGAGACTGCTGCCCCATACACTCATAGGAACTGTTTGAGGTCCTTTCTCTTGTGGCTAGAGACCACTTCTGGATTCAGCACCAAATACACCCATCCTCACCAGTACTGCTTAGTGAATGAGCATGACGTGCACTGGCTTATCTGTCAGTAAGTTTCCCTGTTTTACTATCTGGCAGGCTGGGCTGAAGGTGGTTCCTTGTTCAGAAACACAGGGGTGCACTTCCATCAGATGGAGAGGCAGTGCAGCATCATCCACTACATCTACCAGAACATGCTGGGTGGCTCTATCCGAGCACAGCTCAGGCAGGTGAGGGTCTCTGTTTATCAGTCCACAGGACAGCTGAACTCCCCACACAGTTTCTCTTCAAAATATTATAACAAAAGCTTGAACACACATGAGGGAGCTTAAAAGGCCCAGTGGTCCACTCCAACCCCAGGCTCATGGTTTACATGCCTTTACAATGACTAAAATTCTTGGTCTGATTTACTATCACATTTCTCTCCTTAGTTGATACAAAATGCAACTGCTGAAATAATGTTCCTTGTACATCAGTAACACATCAGCCCCTACCTTTGAATCCCTCTACTAATTCTCTGCTCCCTACTTCATTGTTGTCCCACTGAAGTGTCTCACCAATCCCCAACCCATCCTCTCTCCCCCTAAGTGTATAACCTGAAGAAACTTCATCATCAAAGGTAAGCTTGTTTTAGCAGTTGATGCCCTGAACAATAAACTTATCAGATGTAGTCCCATGTCATGTTGTCTTCACCTGCTCCACTCTGCTAATAATGCCAGCCTCGATGTTCATTTGTCAACTTCTCTCATGGCCACCTCTACACCTTTTTCCAAGTTTTGGGTAATGCCTTCCCTGAACAGGGTTCCAAGCCATAATTCTCCCCTCATTCAGTCCTTCCTTAAGCATTAACTTTTTCTGCAATGTCCACAAGGTATGAATCCAACCAGGATAAGTTTATTTTCTAGGTCATTGATGTATTATCTATATTTTTGATTTATAAATTCATCCAGTCTGTACCTTGCTTTTAGCTAAGTAACCACATGATTTTGTCACTGTCTTGCCTTCTCCGCTCAGCCCCATGTCTGCTAGCCTTTTGTCTTATTGTGTCTTATTTGTGTAAGCACATTGGAAGGAGGACAGTGTTTTTATGTTTTTGAATGGAGTATAATATTTCTGGGTGTTGAGTAGTTACACAACAGAAGGAAATGGGGTTTTTGGCATCTGTTCTTGTAAGGAAAGTATCTCCAGGTGCTATGTTAATGAAATAATATCAGGTATCCTCCCCTTTTAGCTAGCCCAGAGGTCTAAGCTCCTCTTACATCATCCAGAGAGTGTTTTCTTCCACATTTTTGTCACTGGTGGTTTGAGTATTTGTGTTTTGGGTACATTTGTTTGGAGTGGCTTGTCTTCCCTGGGGCTTTGTGCTCCCACCCATTACCCAGCTAACTTCAGAGAAGGGAGCAGCATCTTGATGTGAACACACTAATATGGGGTAACTATTCACCCTGTTTGAAGGAAAGGGGCCAAGGCCCATACAGAGCAGGAAAAAAAATCTGCACTACCGTTTCATTGTCAGATTGACCTGTGTTTATGGAGCAAGATGGGGGAGACAGCAACCCTCTAGATCTCCCCATGTGGCTGGAAACTCCATTGTGTGTGTAAATGAAGAAAGCTGGGCTGAATGCCTCCCTCATATTCTGGCATTAGCCTTGCTTTGCTAATTCCTTGGGAAGTGCATGGGGTGGGAGGGGCTCATAAAGACTGTGAGTGGTTCTGGAGAGATTCAGAGACCTATTTCCAGCTCTACAGAGATCTCAATCTCTCATTTTCTTTGTAACAGTGTCTCCAGCTGCCCTTCGTGCGTTCTCTCTCATCATACCGCCTCTTCCGAACAGCAAGTCCCTTTGACAGGCGAGTGACATGTCTGGAGTGGCATCCAGCTCATCCCAGCACCGTGGCTGTGGGTTCCAAAGGTGGAGATATAATTCTCTGGGACTATGAAGTACTGAATAAAACCTGTTTCATAAAAGGAGTAAGTCACTAAGTATGTGAGGTGGGCCGGAAGGTAGGACTAAAATAGCTCTGGGTATGTCTACACTGCCACCCTAGGTTGAACTAGGATCGCTAATGTAGGCATTCAAACTTTCAAATGAAGCCCGGGATTTAAATATCCTGGGCTTTATTTGCATGTTCCTGGGTGCTGCCATTTTTAAATGCCCCGTAGTTCGAACTACCTGCCCACAGCTACACGCGACATGGACTAGGTAGTTCGAATTAAAGTTCCTAATTCGAACTACCTAGTCTATGCCGGGAACATGCAAATAAAGCCCGGGATATTTAAATCCTGGTCTTCATTTGCAAGTTCGAATGCCTACATTAGCCACTCTAGTTTGAATTAGGGTGGCAGTGTAGACACACCTTTTGAGTGCTTCACCTCGTTATTGAGTTGCATTGTCAGAACTATTAGGGGTCCAAGACTAGAATAGCAGCAGATAGTATTCTGATCTGAAAAGACTGAGATGCAGTGGTGAATCAATATGTGAAGCCCAGGAATAGGAGAGTGGGGATTGCAGGTCAACAATAAGGTGTGTTTGTAGAATTTATGGTGAAGTTTCTTCAGGCCAGGCATTTGGGAGGGAGGGTGAGTGGGGGATTGGTGAGACACTTCAGTAGGATAACAGTTAAGAAAGGAAATCTGTAAGAAGCATGCAGAGAGGGTTCATTTATTCTAGGCTTGACTCTCCCCCTCTTCACCTTCTCATTTTGCCTCACATGAGGGAGCACCTTTTTGAGTGGAAAGAAGGAAATTCATTTCAGGTGAAGAAGTGGAGTGAATGACTCCCTGTGAGTTTGAATGGTTTGCATGCCCATCCCATTCCATGTATACACTAATTCCAGTCCCAAGTATATGTGGGCTCGTAGTTTTCACATCAACACTTGTCTCTTAAACTTAATTCATGAATATAGATTGGGAGGAGGAGGAGGAGGATCATCCTCTGAAGATTTCTAGGTCCCATTCCTGGTTGCCTTGTTTTCTTTTTGGTGTTGTATGGTGATGTCCAGCCAGGGATCACATGCCCTGGAACTTCAGGAGCAGAAATCTTCTCTCTGATGAGGTTATCTACTCCGCCAGGATGAGACTTGTAGAGATGAAAGTTTCTGTAGTCTCTCGGGAGCCAAGGCTTGTGTCATTGTTGCTGTTAGGGACACAGTGATTGTGAATTTGTAGAAGGAACTTTCCTGCTTTCCCATCATTTAGTGATTTTTTTTTTCTCTTTTGTTCATCCCCTTCATTGTAGATGGGAGCTGGAGGGGCCATCACAGGAATGAAGTTTAACCCTTTTAATCCTAGTCAGCTGTACACATCGTCACTTGCTGGTACTACCACCCTACAGGATTTTACTGGCAATACACTCCGGGTCTTCACCAGCACCAAGGACTGGGAGTAAGAAACATGGCAATTTTCTGGGCCTTTGCCTCCTGCTGTCACTGGTAGCACAGGGAGAGGGAGCGTCACTTATTTTTGAAATGTGAGAGCTGGACTCTCTGTTCCCCTCCACATCCACCTCCTGTCAGTTCCAGAATCTACCTTTCAAAAGCCTGCCTCTCCTCTTGTTTTTCCTATTCAGTTTGTAGGGGGAAGGGAAAGAAATCCATTTCCCCTAAAAGAGGGTTCTCCTTTGAGTGGCTTTGAGTGGCGTCCCTGTGGGTGCTCCACTCAGGTCTCTGTGCATCCTCATGCCGCGACCTGAGTGGAGCACCCACAGGGACACATCTCGAAAAACCATCATTACTGCACAGGGTGAGTAACTTCTTCACTCTTTTTCCACTCTTATGCCTTCCTGGCTTTTTAAGGGCACCAGTAGAATGCCTCAGTTTTGTGCCTTTACATGGCTCTGTGTCATGGTGATCTTTTAATTACCAGTGTTGTTCCCACTTGCCACAGAGGCTCTGTAGAGCATCTGAGGAGTTCCTGCAGTACTTCTGCAAGCCCTATTGGCTTGGGAAGTCAGAGGAAAGTCCTAGGAATGACCCAGTAGTATCAGCATGCCAGTTCCACTTTGCCCTCTTTGTTTTCTTTCCTTGCCTGCCTCCTGCCAGTAGCATGTTTCCTATCTAGTTTTCAAATGTCTACTGTAGCTGCAGTCATTGAGGAAAGATGAAACCAAACTCCAGAGGCCCATTGGGATAGTTTGGTGCTGCCATGTTGAAGATCCGGGTTTAGTGTTCGAGTGACTCCCTGGATCAGCAGAGGCTGGAAGGGTTATAGAAAAGACATGCTCTAACGTTGGGGTTAGAGAGCCTCACATCCTCCACTAATATTTCCTATTGATCAAGATGAAGATGACTAGGTCTTAAGGGGATATCTATTCAGTTTCCATTGGATTTTAGGTAGGTCGTGCTCTATGAAAGGGGCTTCTCAAAAGTCAATAATGAAGATGAGGCCTTGGTACAAAGTGACTGTGAGCAGCAAGGGAAGTGTACTGGCTATCAGAGAGGGTTTTGTGTCTCCCATTTAGCCCCATCTTTTTTTCTTTCTGTTGTGTGAAGATCCCACTTGTTTTCTCAGTAGATACAGGCTGGGGATGATTCCTGGAACAAGACTCCTCTGCCTCTCTTGCCACACAATCAGTTGTGGGGATTTTCCCCTGTACAGCTCTCAACTTGCCTGCTGGCACCTTGGGAAAGACCAGACGTGACACATTGGAAGCCCCTGCAAGGATTCTGTGGAAGACGATCCTATAGAAAGAAAGTGATTCAGAGTTTGTTTGGTGTTTCTTATGTTTCTGCATGAAGTGTTGCTTGTGTTCTTGCCCTCCCAGGTTTAGGAATGGATTACCACAGGCATATCCTGTAGTCTGAGCTGGAGACAATTGTGCTGCTGGAGGGGACTTTGGTTTGTTTGAGAAAACAGTCAGTAGAACCTGCAAACCCCCAACGTTTTTATTCTCAGTTTAGTAACAGACTAGATAAAAGATAGCTCTTTATGCCACTCTTCTTGGGAAACAAGATTCTGTGACCTTGGTGTATCTCAGCTATGGAGAGAGGGCTTCATTTCCAGGTGGTCAGCATTCTTCCTGTCCCTTCCTTCCCCAGTAACATTGGTGCTCCTTCCCTTTGTCTGTGTGTTCCAGAAAGGGCCAGGAGACTCTCTTGGAGGCATGAAGTTCAGCCCGTTTGAGGCAGTGAAGCTTTATGTGGCCTCAGGGGATGGCACCCTTAGTCTGCAGCATCTGGAAGGCAAAGCGGCGCAGGTGATCTCCCGCACTCCAGGCTGTGGCCATGAGTACCATGATGTTTGGTGAGGAGGAGTAGGCTGGGTTGTGCCTCTACTCCATACTATTTACATTGTAGTCCCTCTTCTTCTCTTTGATGTCAACTTCCTTTGCTAGGACAGACTCTTACCATTTGTTGGGGCTGTCAGAGGATCCAGTGACGTGTGACACTGGGGCATGTGGGCCCACTCCAAGAGTTTGGCATGCTCAGGACAGTTAGACTTCTGCTGTTCCAGTGCATGATGGGTAATATAGTTTTTGGCATCTTAGGACAGCAGCAGCACTTGGAGTGTACTTTTCCTTTTAAAGGTGCAATTAAGGAGAATATCAGGGTTGCTAGACAGGCCAGTGTTCTCCTTTCTGCCACGAGCTGGGCTAAGAGGAGTATAGGGCAGCTTAGCCTAAACCAAATAACATTTCTGCAGAAACCTACATAACCCTATTGTGGTAACTCTGTATCTCTTTGGAGATGGGGGTTGGGTTTTCAGGCTTGCCACCCTGACTACAGGGTATTGAATACTAGTGTGAACATCCCCTGCAGGTCGAAGCTTGGCAAAGAAGTCCCTGGATGTCAGAGAATTCACCTCTCTGCCCTCTCAGTATCAAGCATGTTACATTTCAGTTAATCAGCCCGTGGCTCTTACTGTGTTTAAAAGGCAGAGCGCAGCCGGGAACCAGGGCGAGTGAGGACTCAAGCAGACCCCACTCACGCTGGGTCCTGACTGCTGCACCCTTGCCTTTTAAATGTAGTAAGATCCCCGCAGGGCTCTTACTACATTTAAAAGGCAGAAGCACAGCAGTCGAGATCCAGTGCAAGTGGAGACTGCTTAAGTCCCTGTTTATGCCGTTTCCCCTGCTGTGCGTCTGCCTCCCCAGTCCCTTTGCAGAGAAGGTGCTGAGGGAACCAGCTTTTAAGCTGGCTTTCCCCCAGCACTGGCTCCTGTTCCCCCCCCGCCTTGCTGCCTTTGATACAGAAGCAGTAAGTGGCGGGGTGGGAGGGACTAGCTGAGTAGTGACTTGACTACCCAGTATAGTCTTTAGTTGGGGCACAAGGCTCTCAAAAGCCTGTATTTGATTCACTTCCTTGAGAGGTATATTGCGGGAGCTTTAGACCAGAAATTTTCCAGTCCAAAGTCTGTGGCTGCAGCTTCTTCATCCCTTTGTGGGGAAAGCTCATTTTAAATCATTTTCTGCACATTGTCAATATCTCAGGTGGGGTCCTGGTCTTTCCCAAGGTGTCTATACAGATACCAAGTGGCCATTCAGCCTCAGTTATGTCCTACACCCCAGCATGTTCTGCTATCTAAAGCTTACTTGACAAATAACTTGGAAGGGATGCCACATCAGTTCCTAACCCAAAGTTCTCTTGGTGGGCTCTGCCCCTGGAGTGATAATTGAAGTCCCATTCTGCCACATGGAAGACCCAGTTCTGAGTCTGTTGCAGTCCCTCTCTGAAGAGAGACAGGGACATGCTATACTCAGGGGTTCTTCTCCTACTACCTGTGTGCAGGATTTGCTGCTGATCTATGGATCTTTTCCTCTAGTTTCTGGTACTGCAGTGTTGATGTGTCTGGAAGCTGCCGGTCTGTGGTGACAGGCGATAATGTGGGTAACGTGGTCCTGCTCAGCACGGGTGGTGAAAAGGTTCGTATGGCTCCTCTCATCTTCTCTACCCCTGTCCTCTTTCCAAGGACCCTGATGGTTGTTTGTAGGTGGTGAAAAGGTTCGTATGCCTCCTCTCATCTTCCCTACCCCGTCCTCTTTCCAAGGACCCTGATGGTTGTTTGTTCTTTAGCCATGTTTATCTCTGCTCCGATGGCCTTCTGCAGAATAGGAGCAGGTCCCTAGAAAGAGAAACATGCATTCTGAACCTTAAGGAGTGTGAGTCTATCCTGTATTTACCAGATGGTGCTCGTTGCCCATCTGCAGTGCACTAGAAGCTGTCTGTCTTTTCTCCCAAGATGGGAGCACACCCGTAATCACCCAGAGTGATTCCAAGTTAAGGGTGGCATGATTGAATTTGCCTGCACTCAGAGTGTCTGATTCCTCAGGAGAGCAGCAGCTGTGACCTCCTGAAGGTGTCAGTTCCCTCTTGCAATGGACAGACTCCAGAAACCCTCTGGAAAAATGGGAGTGTCACGGGTATGATGTGACAGAACGTCACGTCCCTCCCAAGGCTAGTCACAAACTTGATCACAGGCGAGGTGAAGAACAGAAACTGTGCCATTTCCATCCTGACCAAGGGGGCAGAATATTAACACCAGGACCAGAAACAGATAAGTAAACTGCCTAAGAGTGAGTGGGCCTGGAACCTCTTAAAAAGTGTGTCCTGCCAATCAAATGTCACCTTTTTGCTCCTGTTTTATTATCAGTTCTAAGTCATCATGTCTGTTGCCGTCAGGGTGAGAACTCTGGATACTTTCCACACCAGGTGCGATAGGCAGGACGATCATGTTAATCAGAAGGCCAAGTGACTTGCTGGGTCACTCCAAGTACTTGAGTTCATAACTTTGCCCTTACCTCAGGGCATATTTATTAATACTCGGAAGATGCAAAAATGTTGAAAATAATAATACTAAATTCAATGTAACGGAGATCTTTTCTACCTTCTGCATTTGAGAAGGACATAACCTTTCCCATGAGGTAAACAATTCCTGGCTATTATGGGGAAACCCATATTGGGCTTTTCTGACCTCTGGTCTCTTTAGTCTGTTTCTCTTGCCCAACAGGCAAGAAGCCTCATACCTGACTTCCTCATAGCTGTTTGCTCCTAGCTATATGACCTGCAATTGCAGGTCTCAGTTTTAAAGGCCGCAAGAACTGTAAGAGTTGCCCTGTGTTTATGCCCTCAAAGGCTGGTGCCTTATGTGCCTAATACATTTCTTGGGAATAGATTAATCTCCAACTCCACCCCCAGTAATGCCCCACAGTGAAAACCTTTGTGTGGTTAAATGGATATAGGGAACAGGAGAAGGAATTGGGCCTTAGGAACTATCTCAAAGAGAGAGGTGTTTAAGAACACAAGAACAGCCATACTAGGTCAGACCAATGGTCCATCTAACCCAATATCCTCTCTTCTGACATGAGCCAATGCCAGTTGCTTTAGGGTGAATGAACAGAACAGAGAATCATTAAGTAATCCATTCCATGTTGCCCATTCCCAGCTGCTGGCAAACAGAGGCTAGGAATACTTCAGAGCATTATCTTACCCCCGTGTCCATCCTGACTAATAGCAATCGATAGATCTATCCTCCATGAACTTATCTAGTTCTTTTTGAACCCTGATATAGTCTTGGCTTTCACAACATGCCCTGGCAAAGGATTTTGTGAAGACCCAAAACCATAACAGGGTTCCCCTTCCACAAGTTGACTGTGTGTTGTGTGAAGAAATACTTTCTTTTGTTTGTTTTAAACATGTTGCCTATTTATTTCATTGGGTGACCTGTAGTTCTTGTGTTAGGAGGAGATCTATTTATTTCATTTGGTGACCTGTAGTTCTTGTGTTAGGAGGAGTAAATATCGTTCTTGTTTACTTTCTCCACATCCATCATTAGTCATCTCTTTTTCAAGCTGAACAGTCCCAGTTTTATTAATTTATCTTCATATGTAAGTTATTTCATATCTTAATAGTTTTTGTTACCCTTTCTGTGCCTTTTCCTATTCCAATTCTTATATCTTTTTTGAGATGGGGTGACCAGATTTGCACACACTGTTCAAGATGTGGGTATACCATGGATTTATATAGAGTCAATATATTTTCTGTTTTATAATCTATCCCTTTCATAATGATTCCCAACATTTTGCTAGCTTTTCTGACTGCTGCTGCACATTGAATGCATGTTTTCAGAGAACTATCCACAATGACTCCCAAGTTCTTTTTTGAGTTGCAACAGCTAATTTAGTCCCCATCATTTTATATGTATAATTGGGATTATGTTTTCCAGTGTTCATTACTTCTCCCATTTTGTTGGCCAGTCACCCAGTTTTGTGAGATCCCTTTGTAATTCTTTGCAGTCTGAAAAGAGCTGTTTTAATGTAACTATCTGGAGTAGTTTTGTATCATCTGCATATTTTGCCACCTCACTGCATATCCCTTCCCTGGATAATGTATGATTATACTGAGCAGCATTGCTCCCATGCAGCCCCTGGGTGGCGCACTGCTGTTTACCTCTCTCCATTTTAAAAACTGACAATTTATTCCTACCCTTTGTTTTCTATCTTTTAACTAGTTACTGATCTATGAGAAGACCTTCTCTGAAAACATCCACTCAGTGTGCAGTAGCAGTCAAAAAAGCAAATAGAATGCTAGGAATCAATAAAAAAGGGATAGAGAATAAGGTAGAAAATATATTATTGCCTCTATATAAAACCATGGTACTCCCACATCATGAATACTGTGTACAGATGTGGTTGCCTCATCTCAAAAAAGATATTGGCATTGGAAAAGGTTCAGAAAAGAGCAACAAAAATTAGGGGTTTGGAACAGGTTCCATATGAAGAGAGATTAAAAAGACTTGGACTTTTCAGCTTAGAAAAGAGGAGACTAAGGGGAGATATGATAGAGGTCTATAAAACCATGTCTGGTGTGGAAAAAATGAATAAGGAAAAGTAATTTACTTATTCCCACAATATAAGAACTAGGGGTCACCAAATGAAATTAATAGGTAGCAGTTTTAAAACAAACGAAAGGAAGTTTCTCTTCACTCAGCGCACAGTCAACCTGTAGAATTCCTTGCCAGAAGATGTTGTGAAGACCAGGTCTTCAACTGGTTTCAAAAAAGCACTAGATAAATTCACGGAGGTTAGGTCCATCAATGACTTTTAGCCAAGTTGGGTAGGAATGGCTTCCCTAACCTCTGTTTGTCAGAGGCTGGAAATGGAGAGGGATCACTTGATGATTACCTGCTCTGTTCACTGCCTCTGGGGCATCTGGCATTGGCCACTGTCAGAAGACAGGAAACTGGGCTAGATGGACCTTTGATCTGACCAAGTATATATATTCATATGAGATTTCAGCACCAAATTGCAGAACTCCTGGCAGATCAGTTGTTCTTTCCTACCATTCAAGATGGTGGGAACTAGTCCCCAAATCAGCTGTTCTCTCAGAAGCTTCTGGTGTCTCAAGTCAAAATCTTGGGTGAGGGACCTTGTCAAAGCTTTCTGAAGTTTGGGGTGATTCAGAAACTGCAAATGCAGCCTCATACAGGTGAGCATTGGCTCTGTGGTATGGGGTTTGCAGTGCTGGCTGTAACCAGATTACACCTGCGCTATGCTCTATAGTAGTGATGGGCAACCCAGAGTAGTGAGTGGGCCGCATGAGTGGCCCTCCTTCATCTCAGTGGGCCACAAGATTATCCTAACCACGATGGTCTCTCGGGATAAGATAGTTTTGCTAACTGCTTGCATACGTAGTATGTGCTGATTGAACCATAGCAATGCTTTGATTGGATGTAGAGGGAGCGCATGGCATTCAGTCAATGTTGTGTGCACTCGGCATACACCTCACTTCATGTGCCTTTGCTTTATGTGCATATCACTTCAGTAATACTGGTAGGAAAAAATGACACGAACGGAAAGTAGCAGAATCCAATGCATGGGTAACAGTAAACAAAATGTCTTGTAGTCCACATATAGAACTCTGATGGTCTGTGCGTCACAGGTTGCCCACCACTGCTCTAGGGTCAAGGCTTGCAGTGCTAACTAGCACTGCTGCTTCCCGAAAACCTTTGGTAAATGGGGTGGCACGTTATGCAAGATAAGGAGTGCTCAGAGCTCCACTGTCTAGGCTGAAGCTGTCTGTTCCAGAGGCTATCTGTACCAGAGCCGTGTTGGAAAGTTCTTCATCTGGCTTGTCTTGCAACTCCTTGCTGTGTTGCTGTCACACAAACCTCACCACCTGTTTCCTTCACTGCAGATTTGGAAACTGAAATTACACAAGAAGAAAGTGACTCACGTGGAGTTTAACTCTCGCTGTGATTGGCTCTTGGCTACAGCTTCTGTGGACCAGACAGTCAAAATCTGGGACCTGAGAAACATCAAAGACAAGTCAAGTTTCCTTCATATGCTGCCTCATGACAAACCTGTGAATGCTGGTAGGTCAGTGAGGTAGGGCTCTCTCTTTCTGCTCACTTATCTACCCATTTAGTCTTTGTTTCTTTCTGTCTTTTTTGGTCTTTTTGTGACCAGTGACTGAGTCCATCCCCTTGAGTTTTCTGTGCTCCACTTTACCTCCGACAAGTGTTTATCAATCCTGTTTTTCATGTGCTTCAGTGTGTATTTATCAAAAGATGAAATCATTTTGGTGAAAGTTTTGAGTTTGATTAGTTTAAAATTGTTCTGTTTCTAAATTCAAACACTGAAAATAGTAAACTTTATCTGAAAGTCCTATACAAAAGTGGTGTTGTCACTCTTAACACCTTCTCGTTGCATTCTGGCTAATTCAGCCTGATGTGTTGTTGCTGATAGAGGGATAGTTATAGATTCCAAGGTCAAAAGAGACTCTTTTAATCAACTCTGACCTTGTGTCTAACACAAGCCGCAGAGCTTCCTAAAATAAATTCCTAGAGCAGAATTTTTAGAAAAACATCCACTTGTGATTTAAAAATTGCCAGTGATGGAGAATCTACCATAACCTTGTAAATTATTCCAGTGGTTATTTAGCCTTAGTGTAAATAATTTTATGCCTTATTCTTAGTCTGAATTTGTCTAGCTTCAACTTCCAGTCAGTGGATTAGATTTATGCCTTTCTCTGCTAGATTATAGAGCCCATTGTCAAATTTCTGTTTCCCATGTAGGTACTTACAGACTGTAATAAAGTCACTGCTTAATCTCTTTAAGATAAACTGATTGAGCTCCTTTAGTAGATCAGTATAAGAGATATTTTCTAATCTTTAATCACGCTTCTGGCTCTTCTCTGTATCCACTCTAAAATAACTTAAACATACTGTCCCTGTTTAATAAAATGTCTGTTCTTAATGGCTCAATACATTGCAGTTTCTGCAGAGCTGCACCTGAGGACTTAAAAGTGAAAACATTGAAGATTGCTGGGGATAGAGAGTGAAATTTGTCTGGGCAGATATTCCTGATCATATTGTGCTGAAGTTCCTTGGGTAAAAATAGGGACAATATTGGAGAGATTTGGTCTAGCAGGGCAGATTTGGTCTAGCAGGGCAGTAATAGTCAGAATTGCTGTAGGGTTTTTTCCAATTCTTATCTGGCTCCTTTCCCACTCCATGTCTTTTTTTTTCCTCATCTGTGTAATGGGGATGATGATATTTCCCTGTCATGCAGGTATTGTAAACTTCATTTTAATATTTGTAAAGATCTTGTTCCTTGGGGCTTGTGGCTTTAACTATTTAGGAAGTTTTAATGGTCTTACAAATTAGGGGCATGTACCATTTACCTTTTCATCTGTGGCCACAGGATTGTGATTTTTCTGTATGCTTTCTTATCTTCTTCACAGCTTACTTCAGCCCAACGGATGGTGCTAAGCTCCTGACTACAGACCAGCACAGTGAGATCCGAGTCTATGCATCTTCAGACTGGACTAAACTACAGCATCTGATCCCACATCCACATCGGCAGTTCCAGCACCTTACACCTATCAAGGTGAGGTAGGAAAGTATAGACTGATCTCTCAGCAGATGCCAGCAACAAGTTGGAAAAAGCTTTGGTACAATTTCTTTTCACACTGGCTGTGTCTAGACTGCATCCCTTTTCCGTAAAAGGGATGCAAATTAGACATGTCGCAATTGCAAACGAAGCAGGGATTTAAATTCCCCCCGCTTCATTAGCATAAAAATGGCTGCCGCTTTTTTCTGGCTCGGAGCTTTGCCGGAAAAAAGCGCCAGTCTAGACGCGGATCTTTCGGAAAATAAAGCCTTTTCCGAAAGATCCCTTATCCCTCTTAAAATGAGGCATAAGGGATCTTTCGGAAAAGGCTTTATTTTCCGAAAGATCTGCGTCTAGACTGGCGCTTTTTTCTGGCAAAGCTCCGAGCTGGAAAAAAGCGGCAGCCATTTTTATGCTAATGAAGCAGGGGGGGGGATTTAAATCCTCGCTTTGTTTGCAATTGTGATATGTCTAATTTGCATCCTTTTTACGGAAAAGGGATGCAGTCTAGACACAGCCACTAAGTGTTAAGACGCTCACACTGCTAGAGTCACAGTTCTTTGTGATTCGTATCAGGTTTTAGCTCTGTTCCTCTGGAGTTGTTTACCATTATCCATCTGCTTTATGTCTAGGCAACATGGCATCCACGTTATGACCTCATTGTGGCTGGACGCTACCCAGACCCTAAGTTTCCAGGATACACAGAGGATGAGTTGCGGACTGTTGATATATTTGATGGAAACACTGGAGAGATGGTGTGCCAGCTCTATGACCCAAATGCATCTGGCATTATCTCGGTGAGATTGGGGACTAGAGTGGAAAGGGCCAATGTGCCCTTAACTGTACACAGGATTTGAGAAGCAGGGGGATCATACAATAGGGACAAGACCCAAAATCTCCTAACATAGGCTCATACTCATACTGGGGAAGGCATCTTGGCAAGGTGACGTGCAGAGGACAATTTACAGAGGGGTTGGCTGTGACAGATAATGGGACTGAAACTTTTTTGGGGGGAGGAAGAAGGGGAGTTCTTGAGAGTGAATCCAGGGTCAGGCACGTGAAGAGTCCCCTTGATTGCTGCTTCTCCAAATGCTAGCTGGTCCTTTCCAGGCCATGCTCATAGGCATCACTGTGAAATATTTCCTCTTTGGGACATGTTTGTAACTTCTTAGTCCAGGGGTTTCCAAACTTTTTGACACGGGGACCAGTAGATCCATTCATGAGCTTTCGGAGGACCAGTAACATTCATTTGCATATTCATTAAGCAAATGATGAATATGCAAATAAGTTGTTTCTGGTCCTCCCAAAGCCCCCAGTGTCAGCTTTAGCAAAGCTTTTGATACAGCCACCCACAATATTCTTAACCAGCAAGTTAAGGGAATATGGATTGGATAAATGGACTGTAAGATGGATAGAAAGCTGGCTAGACCAGGGTTTTCCAAACTTTTACTTTAGTTGGAACCTGTTTTTTTTCAGTACTGTTTTTTGCAGCCCCAAAATACAAAAGCACATAGTGAAAATTTAGTCATTTTTCAATTTTTTTATTTCATTCGCTGCATCCTCCACCCAACCCGGGCCAGGGTTTGGGGGACCCGGTGCTGCACCTAGGCCTTGCTCCCAGCATCCTGCTTTGGGCCCCACAAACCCTTTGGCTGGGCCTGGCCGCTAAGCCTGAGAATAGGCCTGAGAACCTTGAACGTATTGCTGCCCTGCCCTGAACTAGGGCCAGGGCACACTGATTCTAGGGTTGCCAGGTGTCCGGTTTTGAACCAGACCGTCTGGTATTTGAGTCCGGGAAACCAATTGAGAAAATACCGGATATATAAAATGTCCGGTATTTTCTAATTAGGTACGTTTTATTATTATTAGGAGTATCAGTACGTAGTGACGTACTGCCTGGCCGGTAGACACGCTCACACTGCGTGAGTGTGTCTACCAGCCAGGGAGTACGCAACTACGTGGGGAGGAGAGGAGGGAGAGAATCCCTGGGTCCAGACTCCTTCGTGCTTCACCTGGACCATGCACAGGATGGGCAGCACCCCAGGATCTGCATGCGTCCGGATCAGTTCCACTCCCCACCGGCTGATTCTCTCCTCCCTACTTCCCCCCTC